TTTTTTTTTCTTTTTTTTTTTCTCCTTCTGTTGGGGCTCTTCAGGGGTCTTTTACCACGTTCCAGGGGTTCTGCACTTTTTTCGGGGGAGGGGGGATTGGAAAATGGATTTGCTGGAATTCTATCAGGAATTCCTGCTATACGTGCTTGTCAGCTATAGAAGTATCGTACTTTTTTTTCTGCATTCGAAATTCCTCGTAATTAATTGGTCAATTGTGAAGTTTTTTGTTTTTTACTTTTCATAGTGCCTTTGATCAGTGCACTTAGCTTTAAAGAGTCTGGTTGCAAAAGAGAAAGTCGAGTGGATAAAGATGCGTTTTCGACAGAAGAAAAGTGGTTTTCTTCATTTTTGGAGTAAAGGTGGAAAGTGTTTTACTAAAATTAAATGCCGCAGATGCTTGTTTCGCTTTGAGGGGTGGCACCGAGAGTTTGGAAAAAGTAAATGGATCTCTGCAAGAAATTACTATGTTTTGCCATTGGAAACTGTGATGTAGTTGAGTATTGCACTTACACGGAATTATTTTTGGACTAGAACCTCATAATTGGATTTAGTTTCGAGAATTATGTTACGAAAGATGTGTTGGAAGCTTTTCTGTGGTAATTCTCTGTTACTGTGCGCCTTTTGAATAGTTCTCAGCGCCGCTTTTTTTTAAGGAGACATGCCTCGGTACTCGGTGGAAGATCTCTCGCAAGGCTTCTTCAGGTCTGTATTAGATGGGTCGTACGGTACAGACGAAGTTCCAGTATTGCAAATTTTGGTAGTTCTTTAGAAATATCATAAAAATTTCTTAACCGGTATCAATGTGTTTTGTTGTCTTTGGAAAGTTGTATGTCCGTACCTTTATTGAACTAAGTGCAATTTGATTCCAGTTAGCTATTTTGTGCCAAAGACCATTTTATGAACAAAAACTTACTTGATTTTTGAGAAAATTTAGGAAGCGCGACCCATTCTGAAGAGCGATCAACCTTCAACGTCGGATACTCGCTTTCGATTTCGTATTTCAGACGGGGATTTCTTTTATTCTTGTTAGGTTTTCAAATATGCAAATCGGCTGATATGTTCAATCGCAGATAGATCAATTTTCCATTCATCGCTGCACATTCAGTATTATGGTCTTGGTTCTGTGTTTTACCGAGATTTGAAAAATATGGCATATTTTTAGTTATTTAAAGAGTAATGAGTACTTGGTAAGGGACATTCTGACAAAGTATAATTTTCGCGTTTACAGACTTGAACGATGGTTTAAATTTTTTAGCATGCCTCAACCAGTCCCAGATAGCCGCAAAGATTCACGAAGATAAACTTTACTCAGGGACTCCTGTAATTCGGTTGGATCGTTATAATTTTGGTGCAGCACAGTAAGTG